AACCAACAGGCTTCTGGTTTCACGGGGGGAGAACTCAACTCTGCTGAGTACTGGTTGTTCTCTCCTAACCTGGATGATTCACCCTCGCAACAGGAGGGATGTCATGCTCTTTGGCCTATCCTTCAAGAGTTGCTGGGAAGATTAAGTGAGATGATCCATAAGGTGGTACTAGTATAGTACATCCTACATACCAAGGATTTGCCAATTCCATTCAGTTTTTTGGCTATCAGACGGAGACTAATAAAAATGGAAAATGCATTACACGCAGGATCCCACAGAAAACACTGCTGAAGAGAGGCTCCTGCTTGTTTTCTCATCACCCAAAATGTGTCCCCCCAACACCTAAAAGGCCAGGTTCATCAGAAAGTGTATGGCTTCCCCCTTAAAATGACAGACAGGACCTGTGGTCCTGACCACCCACCTCAATTATGTTCAACCAGGAGGCTATCCAGGCTTCATTTCAATACCTCCAATGCCAGGAAACTCACTCTCATAAGGTGGCACCATTTCAAAGCCAGAGAAGAAAAAGCTCTTCCCCAGGTCTTACAAAAAACGGTGCTTCAGGGGAGAGGCAGTAGAGAACACAGACTGAGCACGCAGACTGGCTGTGATAACCTCTCTACGCCTCAATTTCCTTGTATTTAACACAAGGATAATGATAGTACAGACCTCATAGTGCTGTTGCGGAGACTAAATTAATTGATATGTGTAAAATCCACTCAGAACTTTGCCAGGCACAGCACAGGTGCTCAATAAGCATGAGCTATTATTATTATTGCTGTTATTCTAAAGCGTAGAGAAGCTCAAAGTTGGGCCTCATCGCACGGCAGTACCTCTCTGAGAATAACACCACCCATGCACTGAGCACCTGGGGGTCAGATCAAGCCAGTTCACCACTTATTTGTTAAATAGGATTACTGTTCCCATTTTACAGGTGAGGAAACCAAGGTTCAAAGAGGTAAGTTAAGTTAACCTGCCTGAGATCAAAGGGGCAGGTTGACTTATCTTACCTCTTTGTGTCGGGGGAATTAAAGCTCAGGTCTGTGGGTTCCAGAACCCAGCTTCACTGTGGAGCCCCCAGACTCAAAACCACCATCAGCACCAGCAATCCAGTAACAAAACCTAACTGGCCGTGACTAGAAGGAGCTCACGCTCAGTTGTCCGCCTAGGGATCCCTGGACGGCTTGTATAAACTGGAGTTAATATCAGGCTACTTGAACCCAATTAGGCACTAAGTCAGCCTGGAAAACATCATGCGATGTATTCCAAAGGTCAAAGTTAAACCTGACTTCCTGGGCAGCCTTGGCCAGGCACTGCCATGATCGCTAGTCTGCAGTCACCAGAGTTTAACCAGTGAGGTGCTTAACCAGCATCGATATTGGCTTTCTAAAAAGTCCCAGAAAGATGCCAGCGACGCGACGCCGTGCCTGGCTCTGCAGTCAACAGAGAAAGACAGTCGGCAGAAAGACATCATTTACTTTTTACAAAAGCAAACCTTATGCCCTTCTCTTTTCGACTTAGGGTTACCATTACTACTGCCGCCTTCCCCCAGGCAAAAATAAAAGGGGGAGGGGCAGAGGAAGAGCGAGGGGGGTCCCAAGCGGCCTGCAGGGCGCTGCAATCCCCACCTGAAACCCCGCGCGCGACCTACCTTCCCGGAGAGCCCAGCCCCCGAGGGCGTTTCCCCGGCGCACCGACAGCTCGTCCCTCCGGGGGAAGCGGCAGCCGTCCTCGGCTTCACTCAGGGCCGCTAGAGTCGCGTGCGCCTCCCCCCGAAAAGAAACCTCTGGCTTAATCTCTCCCCCCACCCTCCCATCATTCCGCCGAAACAGCAAAACCGGGGCGATCGGTTCGTCTTTAGGGCCACATTTAACTCTGTCTGGAGCGCCCGCAGGAGGACGAAATAAGGGAGAGGAGGAGCGGGGAGAGAGGGAGCGCGGCGGGCGGGGGGGCGCGCGGAGGATCGTCGCCCTCCCAGAGCAGCAGCGCCGCGACGCTCCAGCAAAACCTCAGGCCGTTGGCGCGGGAAGCGAACCCCCATCGGGGCCCAGAACGCCACTGCGAGTCCCCAGGGCCGGCCACCCCTGCCGCCTCTACGTCCGGGGCCGTCGGGGCGATGGCGCAAGACTCTGCCCCCCCCCCAACAGCGACAACAGCCACGGTGACAAAATGGCAGCCCGGCGCCCGGTAGTCGTGCCACAGGCGAGCAGGGCCCTGGCGGCCGCCGCCGCCCCCCATTAACGTCTCGGCGCCCTTCGCGCTCGGCCTCGGGCGGGCCCGGCCGTTAGGAAATTAATAATAACAAATAAAACACGTCGAGCTCCAAGCCAGCTCGGGAGGCCCAAAGGCCGGCCCCGGGGCCAGCCCGGCGCGCCCGCACCCCGGCCCGCGCGCACGCGGCCCTGCCACCCCGGCGCCCGCCCGCGCCCCGTGCCCCGCGCCCCGCGCCGCAGGGAGCCCGGCGGCCGCTTTCGGAGCCCCGCGCTCGGCACCGGCAGCGCCATGGGGGAGGGGCAGGGCGGGCCGCGAGAGACCCGGGAAACATGGCTGCTCGTCCTATTTCGGCGTCGCGGCGTGGCCACCAGCCCCCGGATCAGAGTTGGGAGAGGCTCCGAAGGTGGGTGTGTGGGGGCCCCGGGCTGGAGCGCGGCGGGGAGGGGCGCAGGGGCGCTCTCCGGGAGCTATTTGTCTTCAGAACGTTTTAAAAAAAACAGTTCCTCCTCCCCCACCCCTTTTGTCCCTCCTCAGCCAGCTTTCTCCCCCCCCCGCCCCAAAGGCGCAGAAAGTGCCCCCTCTGCCCCCACCCGCGCCCCACCCCGCCTCGAGGCCGGGGGCAGGCGTGTGGGCAGGGACGCTCGGGAGGCGAGGGGGCGAAGCGTGAGAAATCGCTCCCAGTTCGGCGCGGCGCGCTCCCCTCCCCCAGCACACACTCGGGGAAGTTTAAAGAGCCGGTTCGACCCGCTTTCCATCTCGCTCCCAGTTGGCCAGCAGTGTGGATGGGGTTGGCCGGGAGAACCGCGCCTCCACACCCACCCGCCGCGACCCTGGCCCCCAACTTGGCGCCCTGCCCCCTCCGCGCAGGGGGCTTCCGGAAAGTACGCGGGAAGACCACGGCTCGGGCCCCCTCCCCCAACACCACACCCAGCCCCCAAATGCTTCGGCTCCGGGTCCGAGCGGGGATGAAACCGGCCAGAGAAAGGCAAACCGCCGGGAAATTGTTCGCGGAAACTCCTGCCTTCCGCGGCGGGCACCCCCTCCCCTCCCTCCGCCACCCCCTCCCCGCCCTGCGCGCCATAAGGCACTGCACGTCTACAGTCCACAGCTGCGTTATGATGGGGGGGGGGCACAAAAACGATCTTGTTTTCAAAAGTCTCACTCAGGTTTGGGGGAGGAACTAAGAAAAGAGGAAGCAAGGCCTGCCTTCGCCAGGGATTAGGGTTTTAACGGGCTGGAGGGGCGACAGGTCAGCGCACAGTGCTACCCAAACTCCCAACTCAGTGGAACCCTGGCCACCGAGGCCGGAGGGCGGGGGGGTCCTCCCGCCTGGTCCCCGGAGGGGCCACGAGGGGAGTCGGCCAGTGTCTCCGCCCCAGATCCGGGGTCTCCTCCGCTGAGCCGCCAACTCACATAAAACACTGTTTGAAAGCGAGAGGGAGACAGAAAAAAGGAGCGTTCGCGTAACCCACCCTCACCTTCCCCCTCCTGGGGGGTGGGCTTTCGCCGAGCCTCCCAGTTCCCATCCGTGCAAGTTTCCTCCGGCCGCACTCCCGCCGCTGCCCAATCAATAACGGCGACGAGAAGGCAAACTCCCATCCCGGAGCTGCGTGTTCGCTATGCCCGCAGAAATCCGGACCCAGCCGATACCCACCACGGGCACCAGCTCTGGGCAGCTCGCGTCCTGACAAAGTTTCTCGTGCCCATTTATTAACCAGGCGCCGAATGGCTGCCGAGGAGCCCACCCTAGAGAAAGACGGGACGGGAGTCGTGCCGGGGGGCGCCAGGGCTCAAAGGCTGGCATCTTAGGGAGGCCGGAAGGAGCGGGGGCGAGGGGGGACCGGGACGTAGCCTTTGGGCAACTTGCAGTAGCGATCGCTCGAGGTGAGGAGGCGCGGGGATTATCTGTGCCTTTGCACGTTCGAAAATCCCTCCCCCCTTTCTTCCAATTTATCCTCCCTTCGGAAGGAAAGGAAGAAACATCAGCATCTGGCCCGAAGGTGGGGTGGAAAGAGTGAGGGAGAAAGAGGAGGAGAGGAAGGGAGGCAGAGAAAGGGAGGGAGGGAGAGAAAGGGCGCGTTCACGAACACTACAAAGTTACAAATATGGCTCCCCCGTCTCTCGCCTCATCACTGCAAAGAAATGAAGACGCACTTTAAACTCGAGCCATTCCCAACTCCACTGCAGCCCCCTCCCCACGCGCTCTCCCCGGGGGCCTCGGCCCACATTTATCAGAAACTAAACCGGACTCGCGAAGCCCAAAACTTATTGTGTGTGCGCGAGCGGAGAGAGAGAGAGAAAGGGAGGGGGAAGGCGCGGGAGGGGGGCGGAAGGGGGGATTCATTTATAAAATATAAAACCCCTTTTTTTTGTTGTTAAATCCAGCAGGCAGCCCCTCTCCTCCTCCTCCCTCGTTAATCTTTCCCCCAGACGGAGTCACGGGAGCAGCGAGCTCAGAGGGTTATTTTGCCTCATTCTCTCCGACCCAAACGCGTGCGCCCGCTGGCCCCCGGTGGGTGCACACTCGCACGCACACTCTCGCACCCACACTCGCACACGCGGGAGCACACGCACAGGTAGTCACACACCAAGGGCAGCGGCGGCGGCAGCCGGAACATGCTCGGATGGCATTGCAACCCCCCAACCCTGCAATTCATTTGCAGTCCGACCCCCAAACCCACACCTCCCGGGCGCCCCCCCTCAAAAAAAAAGTGCCTCCCCCCAACGCACACACACACACAAAGTAGGAGAATGGACCGACAGAGATATTTTTGGCAAATGCTCACATCAGAGGGCGTCCTGTTCCGCAGCTCTAAATGAATCCGTTTGTCCATGTCCATCTCTCGCGCTCTCTCTCTGCAGAGGCTCCCGCGCCGGCGGAATTCAATCAATAAACCCCGAACCCACGGCCGCGCGTTTTAGGACTTTGAAGGCTCAACCAGATCCGCTCGGTTCTCGAGCCCCCAGCACCCGCGGCGCACACTAACCTGATCACCGTGGAGGCGGGATCTGCGGCCCGAGGATGAACGGCAGCAGCTTGAGCCAATCGCCGCCGAGGGTCTCCGGGCAACAGCCAATGGTGGCGGCGGCGGGGGGGGAAGGGACCAATGGGCGGACTGCGCAGCCGGCCAGGGAGGCTCAGCCATTTGGTTGTGGTGCCGGAGACGGACCCCTTTAGATTTCGGGGCGGCTGAGGAGCGCGGCGGCTGCTCGCTGGCTGAGCGAGGGGGGTGGGCGGAATGGCGGGGGAAGGGAAGGTGACTGTGCCTCGAGGGCCGAGCCGCCTGGCCTCACCAGCCCGCCGCCGCCTCAGCGTTTGGCCGGGGGCGGGGCCGCAGGTGCGTTCTACGAGGGGGAGGGGCGCGGCCGGAGGGGTCGGGTCGGGGTCCTCGCGGTGCCCCGGCCATCGCGGGCCGCCCCGGGCCTGCGGAAAGAGGCGGGCGGCGTGAGGTCTAGGGGTCGCGGGCTGCTAGGCGGGCGGGCGGATGAAAGGCCTGGAAAGCGGGGGAGGGGTCAAGGGTACCGTAGGGGAGGGGCTGGTCGTTCGTGGGTCCGGCGGACCGAGCCGGGGGAGCGCGGCTGCTGCCCCCCCTCTCCGCGGGCTCCCACCCCCGGGCTGCGGCCCCCTGCCCGCGCGCCCCTTCGCCGGCCCTCGTCTTAGGCCAGCCGCAGCCGTCCCCGCCCCTCGAATAAATGAGTAAATAAAAGCAAGATGCGTCCACCTTTGGATGACTTACCTCGCGCGGTGGACCCTCTCCACGGAGGGGCATTTCAGTTTGCTGTCATATAAGGTCAGCTTGGAAGGAGTGATCACCAAGAGGCACCCAGGGTCTCGTTTAGTCAACAAATGAATGAAGACCGTGGGTTAAGAATTGTTGCCGAAGATATTGAATATTAAATAGCGGAAGAGGAAGGTGCTAATAACTCCTGGTTTTCTCGTCCAAACATAATTTATGGGCTTTATAGACCTAGTGAAAGAAAACGGCGCACAGTTTACTCTCATCGTGCACCTGAGTCATTTGGTTCAGTCTGGGTTGCCAAAGAGGCTCTATTTGGAGCACTTTCTCCAGGTTTTACGGTTTGCTTGCTTTGGGTTTTTTTGCATCACGTTAGTTGTAAGAGACCTTAAAGCCTTAATTCCCACTGGTTACCAACTTCTTATGGCCAGGCCTAGGACTTTGTGTACTAAGTTGGCTGCCCGTGGCTGTTTATAAGTCATGGGGATTGTTGGCGACAAGGACAAATACATCTTTACCCTTCGCACACAACTGTCTTCAGTGCCTTTAGGTCTACCTGTCTACAGGCTTCCCCATACACTCTACGGTAGTTTTTTCTTTTTTGGATACATTGTGGTTTTTTTTTTTCAGGGACGTGGGTTCAAGGGAGAGATAAAACAAATGTATGTTGCAAATGTGAAATATTGTTACATGACACCAATACAATTTCATTCTTGAGACAAAGTTTAGGAGGAAATAAAAAGTGGCAATGTAAATAAAGCGCACATACAGAATGCTTACACTGGAGGAGAAACTAGTACTGAACTTTGATATTGTAACCTGACGGATTGCAAACAAAATCCTGCAGCTAAACATTTTACTAAGCAAATTCTTCTTTCAGATAAAATAATAAGTGGAATTTGAAAGTGATAATGTTTACTCTGAGTAGCTGGAAAATGCAAAATAAAAATGGGAAGTCATTGTTTTATTTCATCTGGGTATAAATAGTATGGAGTAGTAGTTTATTTGACTTGTTGACTTAGCTGACGTATTTGTCTTTCTCAGTTTTGTTAATCTTATTGAAGTCAACTTGTGTAGTTGGGATTTATTCTTTTTAAAATTGTATTGGCTTTGTTCTAAAATATAGAGGGACCCCAAATTACCTCTCTTTGCCAGAGTCAGTTATTTCTGGATATGGTATTTAAGGTTGTTACAAACCAGAACTCTGCCTCACAAACACATCAAGTCAATATGATGTATAGAAACTATGTAACATAGGTGTCCTGAGATTTATGTTCTCTTTGATGGTAAATGCTCATCTTCCACTAAAATTTTTAACCACAATTAAGTCCACAGCACTAGCAATGTGATATGGAACAGTCCCTTTGCTGAGGTGTAAGCCCTTAAAGCCAACAGGTCAAATGCAGAGATGTTCCCATCCAGCTCTGCTAAACAGAAGCAAATAGCTCACTTTAATATACAAAGATGGAAAAGGATGACTTGAAAGCCCAAACTCTGGTTAAAGAGAGTATACAGGAAGAAATTTAAATTAGAATTGAAAAAATCATGGCTTGATCACTAAGTCAAAATATTAAATTTAGTAGTTGTTTTTAGAAGCATCTTACTTTATACCTTTTGATAACAGCTTTTGTATTGGTGTTAGAAAAAATCTACCTAAGCAAAAAAAAAAAAAAAAAAAAAAAAAGGAAAGAAAACTTCACTGGATGTCAATCATCACATAAGTTGAAATAGCCAAACACTATATAACCAATTGAATACACTTCCCATATTTCCAACATACTTTGAATTTAGAGATTTCCTGTCACTTTTACAAATAGATTGTTTGTAGTTTATTTCTAAGAAAATTTCGGTGATTTTGATTTTTTTTATCAAAAAGAAATAATAATATAGCTCAGCTAAAGCTGAGCCATTTGCTTCACGCTACTTGACTAAACTAAAAAACAAAAAACCCTGCTCTTGTGGTCCTTATTTTATAAGATTTGTTTCTTAAATTACATTTTATTGCATATTATAGTAGTAAATAAATGCTCTGAATAGCTCTAAATATCAGAAGATAGACTAATAAAAGAAGCCCCATATCAAGGAATCTTGGCTGGATTTTGCGACGCAGTGGGAACAGGATGAGTTCCCAACTGCTGAGTGATTCTACAATGGGAGTGAGGTTGTGAAAGATGCAAAGTATGTAACCTCCAGAACTGGATTTGATTCGCACTGAGAAGAATAAAGGAGATGCAATTCAAAGGCTTGAGCCCCTAGGGAGACAAATGGCCTTCAAGTGAGGAAAGATACCTTCCTGTCTTCCAAAGTATTTTCCTTCAAGAACCATTCCAAACAAATGAGCAGCCTATCTTGCTCTCTTAAGAGGTTTGAGCAATGGCTGTCCTAGCCTCTTGATATGTGTTGGAAAGTACTGTTTTATAAATAACCCACATTGATGATGATGCCATTTTAGCTCATTTGCCCTTGTTTGGTCTCTAAAGATGGGGACCCTTTGGTTAACATCCTTTTGAGTTGAGCTAATGTATTCACAGTCCAACTTTTTGTTCTTCAGCTTGAATCACATCCACCGGAACCTGGCCATAGGACTTTTTCACCTACATCATGGCTCTGCTGCCTGGACCCCAAAAAACAATGATATGGAAAAACTCCAGCTTCATTATGTTCTTTGTCTTTCTATATAAATAGCTTTTAGAAATGTAGATTATTCTTTTGAAATCCATGGTAACAAATGTGAAGACTACAGCATTTTGATTTGAATAGCAAAGCAATGTTGAGGCCCAGGATCTAAAAAGTTAGCTAGTCTTAATTCTTTTGCTTAATAAAGAATTGGATGGTTTTATTTTTTAAATTATTGAATACTTTATCAATGGGTTGGTTATGGAAAAAAGCACTGTTAGATGAAAATAGTCGTATGTGATTTTAGAAATTAATAGCAAGAAATCTTAAAACAGCTTAAAGATGGTTTATTTTGAAAAGGAAAGAGAAATAAAAACTATTACCTGAACACTTGTTTGGAAATCACTAGAACTTTTGTGACTCAGTTTCTTAAATATATTTATTAAAGATAATTTGGGGGTAGCAATAAGAGGAAAATTGGTTTACCATTCACCAGGAAGAAAACCAGAGCTATGAGCTCTTATTTTTAGTGTTAAAATAGGGCTATAAAGGAAAAAAAAATAGATGCCTTGAAGACAAATAATGGAATGAGGAGTTATAGAACAAGACTCTGGGGCCAGCTCGCTGGCACAGCAGTTAAGTTCACATGTTCCAATTCGGCAGCCCCAGGGTTCACCGGTTCAGATCCCAAGTGTGGACCTACACACCGCTTGGCAAGCCATGCTGTGGTAGGCGTCCCACATATAAAGTAGAGGAAGATGGGCACAGGCATTAGCTCAGGGCCAGTCTTCCTCAAAGAGGAGGATTGTCGGCAGATGTTAGCTCAGGGCTAATCTTCCTCAAAAAAAAAAAAAAAAAAAAAGGTGACTAAAGACAATCTAGGTTGAAAAAATAGAAATTAATTTAGAATCTACTAATTTGTTTTAACCCATCTGGGGTTGAAGTTTACTTCTATGAAGAGAAGGGTACTAAAGTCTATTAAGATATAAGAGGTAGAGAACAGACTTTCTAAGAACTTTTAATACGTTTACTCTTTGCAAATAGTATTTATAATTTTAAGCATATATAGTAAAATTGCCCTCTCAGATTAGCTACTTTGTAAGGGTAGTTATTTGTACCTATGTGTAATTATTTTAAAATGTATATTCTACGGGGCTGGCCCCGTGGCCGAGTGGTTAAGTTCGCGCGCTCTGCTGCAGGCGGCCCAGTGTTTCGTTGGTTCGAATCCTGGGCGCAGACATGACACTGCTCATCAAACCACGCTGAGGCGGCGTCCCACATACCACAACTAGAAGGACCCACAACGAAGAATATACAACTATGTACCGGGGGGGGGCTTTGGGGAGAAAAAGGAAAAAATAAAAAAATCTTTAAAAAAAAATATATATTCTACAACTCTTCTTGAATTAGAGATCAATTTGATGCATTCTGAGAAAATAGCCATTTTCCAATGCATTTCTAGTTGAAATAATAGGTCCTCAGGAGAGTATACCTGTACCCTAAACTTTCTCTGGAAAGTCTGAATGCTGACAACTTGAATGTAAAGTTTATAAGGCTATCACAGAACCAAAGAACAAGGTCCAGGAAAAGAGCAGGAAATGGGAAGCTGGGCAGCCTGGAGTAGCCAAGATGTTTAGGTATAGTCTGCAAAGGACCCCCATACCTCGGAAGTCATCTCTAAGCTGTGGACTCTGCACCCCGCCATTGCTGCAGATGATCTCTCGGGAGCCTCCATTTTTGTGTCCCTCCCTCACAGTTCAAAGCCCTTGAGCGGAACATTTGCAGATGCCCCAGCGAGTGGGAGCGAGGAGCAGACGATCTGCCTCCTTTAGCTTCTGCAGTGGGATATGCGACCTTGCTGCTCATCAATTTCAGGATCCTGCCCGAAGAGTATTCTCATGCTAGGTGACCAGAAGCAAAATCCACTAACGTGTTCTGATTAAACAACACTGTGAAGGTTTCCTAATGATCCAAATTACCCTGTCTCAGCTCTTCTCCAGCTGCCTACCACTTACCAAGAAGGGACTAGCTAGGGTCTGAATTTCCGTGTCTCCCCTCCCCACCAAATTCATATGTTGAAACCCTTATCCCCAGGGTGATCATATTAGGAGGTAGAGCCTCCTCCTAGTAGGAGGTGACTAGGTCATGAGGGTGGAGCCCTCATGGTTGAGATTAGTGCCATTATTAAAGAGGCCCCACAGAGCTCCCTAGGCCTTCTGCAATGTGAGGACGCAGTGAGAAGTCTGCAACCCAGAGGATGGCCTCCTGCTGGCACCTGATCTCAGACTTCCAGCCTCCAGAGTTGTGAGAAATAAATGTGTTTTTATTTATAAACCACCCAATTTGTATTTTGTTATAGCACCCCAAATGGACTGAGACAAGACTGTATCAGCTATTTACCATCAACCCAAAACAGAGCTAATATCTGAAATACTTAATTACCTTTCAAATACTTCCCTTTCCAAATCCTAGGCCAGAAGTAACAATATGTTGTTGATGTCAATGAAATACTTAGCAAAGCAGAGCTGATAAGTAGAAGCTTCCAGAAGAAGGATCCCCAGTAGAGATATTTGATTTTAACTTATAAGTCTTAAAGGATACATGAAAGTAGGGATAATCTACATGTTATATTTCATGAATAAATGCAGAGATCTCTAGATACCAAGTGATATAAGATCTTGAGAAATGATATATTGCTGCTGATGGGTTTCAGTCTGCTACTCTGAGCACGTGTTTGGGCTCAAGTGCAGAACTAAGCTGAAGGGTATGAGATTTGTTGTAAAAATTTATTGGAAGTAGGCAAGTGGTTACAGGCTAAGTGAGGGTTCATAAAAGGATGTAGTCACTTTAAGGACAATTTTGAAGAAAAAATGCTGATGGTGAAAGAAATGCAAAAACCACAAACACATCAAAGAGGCCCATATTCCTGGGAATAAAGAGGAAGGTCATAAAGGATCTGCTTACAGAAAATATATTAATCCTGGTATATTGTCCTCTTTCCTCTTGCCCCCCATCATTTCAGGTCGCTTAGCTTAGATTGCTTTTCAGCAAAAAAAAGCAAATGATACCCTTGCAAGGACTCTGAACAATGTTATAGGAATTAAACTCTTTTCTAGTTTTATTTTTACCATTATTAAGCATGGTTTAACTGTTACATGAGTAGAACATCCTAAAAAATGGCAATAACTTCTCACCAGAGATGCAGTGCTAAAGATTCTGTTCATTGATATACAAAATGCTCTTTATAACCAACTGTCTTATTTATTAGAGTTTAACTTTTCCCGAGATGATTTAATGCAAATTATGGCAGACTGCTAATTATTCAACAAAATTTATTTCCTCTTCTTCCTGCACACAAAGCTTGACTGTGCTTCCCAGCTGCCCTTGTGGTTAGATTGGGCCATGTGACTGAGTTTTAGCCAGTGGAGTGTGAGTAGAAGTGATGTTTGCCACTCTGAGGCCTGAACTCTCCAATGCATGCTGACTGAGACGGAGGTGACAGAGTGAGCTTAGAAGCCATGTGTTGTTCATGAGGTGGAATCTCCTTCAGCCTGGGTCTCTAAGGAGAGCCATTCTACCCACCTATTCACCGTGACCAAGATAGAAACTTTCATGGCGCTGTGCCATTACATGTTTGAGATTTTTGTTACTGCAGCCTCTGCTAACTAATACATTAAAAGTTTTTTCTCAGTCTTAGTTTTCTATTCATTTATGATTTTGTAGATCAGTTGCAAATTTCAAATATTTATTATTGTATTTGCAATGTATCTTTGAATTAAAGGTTCTCAGAAGCACCATAAAACAAAGATAAAAGGATTATATTAAGTAACAAGTACTTAATGAGGAGAAGATAATTTTAAGGAAGTCTATATAAATGACATGCAAATATATCTCTTTCCCCTAAATTTAGTGCTTGGCTGATAGTAGGTGTAAAATAAATGTCTGTTGTCTCATCAATAAATGAGCCTCCTTCCCGAGCTTGAGACTGACATTTCAATTGGCCATGGGACATTTCCAAACAGCTGTCCTACAGGAACATCCACAGAACATTCCCAAAACTAAAATAGTCCTCCCTGTCAGCCTCTACCTACTTTGCCACTACCAAAAAGCCAGCGTGCTTCTTACTCTCCTGTTTTTCTCAATGGCACCCTTGGAATTGTCCTCTGTTGACTCACATAGCCAAACGGATGCCTCATTTTCTAAGTTTCATTTCCCAAATATCTTTCCTCCTTTCAGCCCACTTTCTCCACTCTATCCAAGAGTACTTGAACCAACTCCAATCTCCCTTTTGTCTAAATTGACTGCATGTGCCAGTTGTTCCCAGGCTTCTAGTTTTCTCACCAATAATGTTTCAAAAACAATGTTTTAAGGACCAACGTAGGATTGCCAACTTTTAGTTTTGCCAGATAAAAACATTCTTTTAAAAACTTTTTATGGCTGAGTAATATTCCATTATATATAATATATATTATATATATTAATTTTCTTTATCCATCCCTCTGTCAGTGGACACTATGATGTTTCCATGTCTTCGCTTTTGCAAATAATGCTGTAGTGAACATGAGCATTTATCATTTATTTTTCTATAGACTAATTTAAAAATAATAATGTAGGGAGGACTCAACTTTGGAATATAGGAGAGTGTTTTACATTATATCATTTTAATTTTATGCAAACTCACAACACTGTCAAAGATTTTGTACTCAGGTCGCGCTCCTCCAATCAGTCAATTCTCCGGTTCCCCGTAGGCTACATCCCCCAACCTGGTATCGAAACTCCCATCAAGGAGACCCACATCCCTTTCCCACTGTTATTTCTGGTTTCCAGACAAAGTAGACCTTCTGCTATTCCCTTCTTTTCTGTCTTTGACTGCGGTTCTCCCAGCTTATACACCCTTTCCTTTTTTCACCACCAGTCAAAATCCTACCCAAAATTTTAAGACTAAATTTTTTTCCTGCCTTTTCTCCCCAAATCCTCCCAGTACATAGTTGTATATTTTAGTTGTGGGTCCTTCTAGTTGTGGCATGTGGGACACTGCCTCAATGTGGCCTGACAAGCAATGCCATGTCCGCGCCCAGGACTGGAAGCAGCAAAACCCTGGGCCGCCAAAGCAGAGCGTGCAGACTTAACCACTCGGCCACGGGGCTGGCCCCAAGACTAAATTTGATGATACTGCGTTCATGAAACCTTTTTTGATCACCCAAACAAATAAGATCTTTCCTCTCCTGGAACTTTCATAACACTACAAACAGTTGCAAGGGCCACTTACTTCCATATACTATGTTTATCTATCCCTCCCACAATAAATGCTTGAAGATAAGAATATTTGACACATTTTTGTTACCCCTGCATTATTTAAACATTAAATATTCATTATATTTTTAATGA